ACGGTGATTTCAACGTCAGGTTTCCAAATAAAATCTTCAATCTCTCCAAGCGAGGGTTCCAACTACTAACCTCTTCTAACATGTCCCATTCTTTTACCATTAACCCCGCTACTTGAGCCTTTCTACTTAAAGCGTCTGCAACCACGTTGACTTTTCCTGGGTGGTAGTTTATTGAGCAATCATATCCTCCAAAAATTCTACCCATCGCCTTTGTCTCAAATTCAATTCCTTTTGAGAAAACAAGTACTTAAGGCTCTTGTGGTCCGTATAAACCTCAAAGGTCACACCGTACAAGTAATGTCTCCATTTCTTTAGGGCAAAGATGTGAGAACCCGTAATTTACATTTTCTAGGTTTTCGCATTTTTCATGGCTTGTTTTCTGCACTTTCTGTATCCGGAAAATTTTCTAGATAAATTTTATGAGCAATTATAGTTTTTAGATAATTTTTCTAGTATTGGAGAGTTTTTAGAAAATTAAGAATATATATTGGACGTGGGACCCACTAGTGCGAAAAGTTCGGAAAAATTCGGCCAATAAGGTTAAGTTTCGGATACTGTGTAAAATTTATCGGGTGTTAAGAGATAAGTAGAGAGTGAGATTGATTGATGTGAGAGGAAAAAGAAAGATAAGATTGCATTAATGTAGGTGACAAGTGTCACCACTACATTGGTTTTGACTTAAGAGTTACTATTCACTATTTTGACTTTTGACCAAAAATTGGTTAAATATCTCAAAAATGCACAAAAAAATTACCATTTCTTACCTCTTGTTGGCCGAACCTCTTGTGCAAGGAAGGAAGAAGAAACTCTTCAAGTTCTAGCTACTACTTGGTGCAAATCACCCAAAAACATTTGCTTACATCCATTTCTACTCCATAAAAATCTTTCTAGTTGGTGATAGAGGTTGTTTGGTGAAGTTTTCTTGAAGAGCTAGGGTGGTCTACAACTCCTATTCTCTTATTTCTTAGGTAAGTGATGATTAAACATTCTACTACACTTATTGATGCTTATATGGTGCTTAATGGGACCTAAAGTGATGGATTATGTGACTTGTTTCTTGATTTGAAGTGTTTTGGTGGAGTTTTCAATTTTATGATGAATTTTCTGGTTTCATATGATCTTGATGGTGTGGTTGTTTTTGATGGTTGGTAATAAGGGGATTTAGCTCTAGTAGGTGCGTATGATAGGAAATTGCAATCAATTTTGAATTTGGAAGAATTTCTGGAAAATTAGGGTTCTTGGTTGAACATTCTGTCCGAAATTTTAGGTCATAGATAGAGGCCGAATTGGACTTTCCTCAAAACATGAAAGTTGTAGGTATTGATGATTTTGAAGTGCCTGCAAATTTTCAGGGCATTTGGAGTAGTGTAGAGTGAGTTATGCCGTTTTTACTGTTGCTGTTCTGGGTGAACAGAATGTACGAGCTGCGATAGTAATTGTCTATTTTGACTGGCATTGGTTTGGATTTTGAAGTTGGTGTCTTCTGCTGAAATGTAGCAGGATGTCTTAGCTAGCTTATGCCTTTGGAATTTCGGAATTTGGACTTGTATAGACTGAGTTGTGTTCATTACAGTTTTGTGTGTTTTGCAAACCTGTTTTGGTAATTCTGGTTTAGTATTTGGCACATTTGACCTAGTTGTGCTAGGATTTGGACTGAGAGGCCTTCTACATTGTTTTATCCCTGTCTTTTAGCTTCGAGATGGTGGGTCTTACGCCCTCATCCGATAAGCGTAGCGCATTTTGTGCCATTACCGCATACGGAGGCCAAACCTGTTTTTGTTGATTGATCAAATGAGTTATATTTTCTGATTTTCTGGTTTGCTATTATGCTTATATATGTATATGAAACCCTATTGGGGTTGTGATTGGCATGGCTTTATGATTCGTTATCGAGTCTCATTGTACTTGTTTGCATGTTTTAAGGCTTACTCTGATTCCGGTAATTTCCTAGCTAACTTTTGTACTTGTATTGCTTTGAGCCTAGTGAACGGCTTTTGGGAAATGAGATGACTTTTGTGTGAGGTTTTGGGACTGATTTGAGGAAATCATGAAGCCTTAATGGCTGGAAAAGTAAGAATTTAGGGAAAATGCTGTCCGATTTTCTAGGCCGTTTGGTTCTTTAAGTTGGATTTGCCTTTTGATGGAAATGAAGGGCTTTTGGGTTGTTGACCCTAGGTCTTCATGTTATCTTTTGTTTCCAAGAAAATCATGTTTTTGCACCCTTGCATTAGTATTTTTGGGCAAGGCGTACGACGTGTAGTCGAGCCTCACTTGTGCATTCCGTTTACTCGATTTTGGATTTATTTTGATTATTTTAGGGTTTCTTGGTTATTAAGGCCAATCTGAAGTAAAAACTTTTGAAGTTGAGCCGGTGAGTGTACCACTCCCCTCCATTGCTATTTAACTTGATTTCTGCTCTGCAATCTGTTTATTTGTTCGAGACGAGGGTGTACTTTATCACACTCGTTCTCTAGTCTGTTCATATGCCAATTTACTATGCAAAATTTGAATCTGTTATCTGTGTCCGCATCTGTTCGGATTTCTATGACCTATGAGCTCAATCCTGTGGCTAAGTTATTCGAGTCGGGCCGGCAAGGGCCTGGACGATTAGATAACGAACCACGGTAGTCTGTTCGGGGATTTTGGGTATTGAGACCCTTGATTCCGGGTATACTCGAGTATTACCATTTTGTTCGTTTGAGGTGAGCGGGCCCGGTAAAGGGTTGTTTGGTGGACGGAATTCGGTGATAAGAGGGGTCTACGGACGCATTGGTTCTATATACGTTGACGGAGAGTCAACCGGTTTGGATCAAGTATTGCGCTGGAAATTTGGCTCCTGAGAGCCACCCGTATCCTTCTGATTTGAATCATTGGTTCCTTTGCTTTACATCTGACATGTGTATCTGATTTGTTAAATGTGAAATGGCATGATTTTAATGCTATCTGTTTGGTACCTCATTGAGCGCAAGCTCACCCCTTTCCGTTCCTTTTGTTTTCCTTACAGGAAAATAAACCCTTTTGGTCTGGATTTGACAAATGGCTGCCAAATTGATCTAGTTGAACATATCTTTTGTATAGCTCATGTATTAAAACCCTAAGTGTACTTTTGGGGCGTTTTCTCTTTTGATTTGGCAAACCGTGTGTATATATTAACTTTTGAAAACTTTTGTATGTCATTTTGATTTGTAAACGCTAAAGTTCAGATGTGAATGTTTGTTGGCTATTTCGGTTGGGTTCTGACGGGTCGGTCACTATTCATGGCTGACTTCGGATTTCATTTTTTTTAAATTTTGGGTTATTTTACCATTTTGACTCGTTTACGCTCGTTCGTAAGTTCCGGATCGCTATAGATAGTTCTAGTCTGCATCGTGAGTCCTGGTGAGAGCTGGGCAGGCAGTCCGCTCACCCCTTTGGTTCGCCTTAGGGGAAAGTGGGGCTGTTACAAAAGACCACTGCGGCCAGTTCTAGATCATGCGTTGGGTAATTTTGTTCGTGAGACTTCAATTTTCTAGAGGCACAGGCAACTACCTTACCCTTTTGCATCAGCACGCATCCTAGACCTTCCCTAGAGGCATCAGAATATACGACATAACCTTCTGCTCCGTCGGGCAATGCCAACACAGGAGCTGATGTTAAGCGCTTCTTTAACTCTTGAAAGCTTGACTCGCACTTTGGAGTCCAAATGAACTTACTATTTTTCTTTTCAGCTCTGTCATAGGTCCAGCAATCTTTGAAAAGTCCTTGATGAATCGCCTGTAATAACCTGCTAGACCCAAGAAACTTCTAACCTCTGTTGGAGTTTCTGGCTGTTTCCACATTGTGACCGCCTCAACTTTTGCCGGATCCACGGCAATCCCATTTTTAGAAAATTTATGCCCTAGAAAATAAATTTCATCCAGCCAAAACTCACACTTGCTAAATTTAGCATACAATTTATGCTCCCTTAAGATCTGCAGAACTATCTCCAAGTGTTTAGCATGTTCTTCTCGAGTCTTAGAATATACTAGGATATCATCAATAAAAACTACTACAAACTGATCCAAGTATTTTTTTAAAAACTCTCTGCATTAAGTCCATGAAGGCAGCTGGTGCATTGGTTAACCCAAATGGCATGACTGCGAACTCAAAATGTCCATATCTTGTATTAAAAGCAGTCTTAGGTATGTCTTCCTTCTTAATTTTCAACTGATAATACCCTTGCCTCAATTCCAGCTTGGAGAAAACTACTGATCCTTGCAGCTGATCAAATAAGCTGTCAATCAATGGCAGAAGATATTTATTTTTAATTGTACCCTCATTTAATCCTCGATAATCAATACATAACCTTAAACTTCCATCCTTTTTCTTAACAAATAGAACAGGTGCTCCCCATGGTGAATCATTTTCTCTAACAAAACCTCTCTCCAATAAATCCTGTAATTGAATTTTCAATTCTTTTAGCTCTGCAGGAGCCATTCGATACGGAGTCTTAGAAATCGAGGCCATTCCCGGCACTAGATCAATTTTGAACTCCACTTCTCTCTCCGGAGGTAACATTTTTAATTCTTCGGGAAACACATCTGGAAATTCCCTTACCACCAGTACATCATCCAACTTTACTTGGTCACTGGGAGCGTTAATCAGGAAGGCTAGGAAGCCTTGCGCTCGTCTATACAACATTTTCCTTGCCCGAACTCCCGAAATCATAGCAGACGATGCTAACCTACCTTTCACATCCAATTTCAGGGTTGCTTCCCCGGGAATCCAAAATTCTACCACTTTTGCTCTACAATCAAGCTTAGCACGGTAATGAGCTAGGAAATCCATTCCTATAATAACATCATACCCTTTTATGTCCAAACTGACTAGGTCTACTACCATCTTACGCTCTCCAACCCAGAACTCGCAGTTCTTATAGGCCAGGCTAGTGGTTATACTCTTATTACCCATAGGTGTCCTAACTTCAAGATCGATGGGTAATTTAACAGGTTGTACATTAATTCCGGACATAAAAATTGGATTCACAATGAATGTGTTGCGCCAGGGTCAATTAGTACTCTAGCTAATCGGTGAAAGATTGGAAGAGTACCTTCCACAACCTCCGAGGAATCAGGTACAGGTTGATCGTCCATATCGTACACCCTGGCAGGAACTTTCGGCCTATTTCCTCCATAAGTGGCTTGTCTAGCACTTGGGGTACCACCTTCTTGTATTTTTGGACAACCGGCAATCTGGTGTTCACTGCTTCCGCACCTCAAGCACTTCCCTTCTTTCCTCCAGCATCCGTCCTCAGTATGGCCAGCCCTCCTGTAATATCCACAAGTTACCTGAGGGGTGGTCACACGACCTCCTTGCAGAGCGTTCCTAGTTTGATTCCTTCCACTTGGTACTCCTCTAGTACCGATATCTCTTCTTCCGGTACCTCTTGCCCCAGCTCCTCTTGCTAGAGCGCCTCGTGGTGCTCCAGGACTATTTACTCCACCCATTCCTAGACCCACTTTGGCAAGTGGAGCACTTGCATAGGTCGGCTCCCGACTACCGCTAGGGCCAAATCTTTTCTTGGCCTGGAAGGATTTTACTTGAGCTCTAGCAACTTCCACCCTCTGAGCTCTCTCAACAGCATCAACAAACGTGTCTATTCGAACAGCAGCTAATCGCTCCTGGATCTCCACATTTAGTCCCTACACAAACCTCCTTACACGCCTTTGCTCCGTGGCTACCAATTCAGGAGTAAAACGGGACAATTTTGTGAATTGGATTTCATATTCGGCGACACTCACCATTCCCTGCTTACACTTGATAAAATCATCCTCTCTTTTCTCTTGGATGAGAGGGGGTAGAAACTTGGCGTTGAACTCTCGAGTGAAGTTTGCCCAGGTCCTAGGAATATGGTTCCTGTCCCAATTAACCCTAATTAGGTTCCACCAGGAACGAGAATCTCCCTCAAACTGAAATGCTGCAAAAGTCACTTGTCTCTCCTCCGTATAATTTAAAGCTGTAAAAATGTTAGAGATCCTCTCCCACCAACCTTCTGCTATCTCAGGTTCTGGGCCTCCATAGAACTTAGGAGGTCCAAACTTCAAGAATCTCTCTAATGCCCGATCCTCAGTATCGATGGGGCCTCCTTGACGATGCACTGCCCCCGGGGCTTGGTGCTCAGTCATGCGCTCTAGAACATCGGTTATTCTATTGATTGCGGTGGCCACTGGGTCCCCGGCCTCATTTCCCTGACCATGGTCTTGGTTGACCTCAGGTTCCCTATCACCACCAACCTCGGGGTGTTGCCTAGTTGATCTCCCACGCTCTCTACCTCTAACTTGTCGATCCATAGCCTAGTTATGCCTATATATAAATAGAGCAATTAATCGAAGATATTGTTATTTATTTACTTATTATTAATATTATTATTATGTATATTCTTCTTTTGTAAGTAAAATCAACATGAATATTAAGGAAAAGAAACTAAAACACTTAACACATATATTCACATACCAAGGTTCATACACATAACATATTAGGGTGCCTTCCGAAAGTATGGCACACAAGTTTAACAAATATGTACAAACAATCCCTTAAACCAAAAATAGGGACACAGTGCCGCAAAAGTAGGCCATCTAGCTAGACAAAATGCTATGACCTATACTAGTGTCACCCTAACTAACCCTGAATACCTATTTACAGGCAAAGCAAGCCTAGTCTAACCCTCAGCAGGGCTACCAGGAGCAACGTCCTCCTCAGGGTCCTCCTCCAGATCCTCCTCAACCCCTGCCTGAGCTGTACCCTGAATGATCCCCATGACCTCGTCTATCATCATAGTGGCGTCGGCCCTAATACCCGCACTCCTATCTCGTACCTCCTCAGCTACTCGAGTCAATTGAGACCTCTGTCTCCCTAACTCCTCACGAGCGGCCTCTGACCTAGCCCTATCGGCTGCTAACCTCTGCTCGAGCTCAGCTATACGATCCATCTGAGTATCAACCATGATGCTCAACTCCTCGACATCCTGGGTCAAAATGTGATTAGCGTCCCTCAGCTGGCGACGCTCGTCGTCCAAGGACAGCACTAACTCGTTAGGGTAGGCATACGTGACCCTACACTGGGATCGAGGGTACCTATCAGCGGGTGTATAACGTATACGAGTTCCTCCGTCTCGTGGCCTATAGGATATAGATCTAAGAGGCTCTACATGTCCATTAGCCACTCCGTTACCATTAGCATGTCCATTTCCGTTTTCCATACCTGTAAAATTACCAAAATCCAAAGGTTAATACTTAAATAGCTAACTCGCTCAAGTACTACTTAGAATGCGTCTAATTATCTCGCTTCTTAATTCTAAAAAGGTTCAGGGTTTCTAGCATATCTAACATATCTTTCAAATAATTTTTCTAACCTAGGCTCTGATACCACCTGTGGCGGCCCCACTTCCCCCTAAGGCGAACCAGAGGGTTGGCGGGTCGCCTGCCTAGCTCTCGCCAGGATTCACGCAAGGAAACCGGCTAAACCCTTTCCACGTACAACTTTAATCAAAACAGAATTCTTCACCCGAACAAGCCAATCCCTTAAACATCCAAAATACTAGAAACATATTAACTTCAGAGATAACATTGACATTGGACATCTGCATGTTCACCCTTAGTACATCTCCAACTAGCCTAACACATAACTACACTTATACAATACAAACCACAAAGTGAAATCTTAAAATTACAAATTTATTCATACAGGCCAAAGTTTAGGGTTTGCACTTTTCCAGCTTCAAGTTGCAACCCAAAACAAAACATACATAGACCGTTTCGAAACAATATTTACAAAAGCCAAAAGCAGATTTCAAATCTCTCGAACGCCAAAACCTGTTAAGGAAAACAAATATCGTGTGGTGAGCTAAAGCTCAGTGGTGCCCCAAAACATGCAATCATATAACACAAATAGTAAATAATCTTCAAGCTTAAATTCAGCAAGTAGAAAAGCATATAACAGCACAAGGTAGGATACAGGGGCTCTCAGGAGCCATTTCCACAAACTTGATCAAAATTAATCGTAGTTGACCCTCCGTCAACTCTCACTATCTAAAGTCCATGTAGATTCATTATTTTTTTCTTAACACGCTCCAACCAACTTACTTCCACCGGGCCCGTACACCTCACGAGAGAGTTTGGTGTGACGCCCCGAAAGAATGAGTGTGAGAACCCGAAAATTTTTATATATTTTCGAAACATTATTTTGTTTCCTTGTCTATAATTTTATGCCTTTCTTCAATATATTAATTTCTTATACATTTTTATAAGGGAATATAGTTTTCAAATCATTTCCTTCATACAAGTTAGTCCACGTTAAATTTGAAGTGTATTATCAACGTGGGACCCGCTACTACGGTTAGTGCGGTAAAATTTTAACGACTAGAAGGAGTTTTGTGCAAAAGCAATTATGTGACAAAAGGTGTTAAGAGATGATTGGAGGAGTAATAGATATTTGAGTGCTTAAGAGAGACAATTAGATAGACTTCCCTTGGATTTATGCCACTTGTCAAGCACCAAGCCAATCTTGACCAAGACCATGACCAAGATTAAGTTTAAAACTTATCCAACTCAAGTCAATCACCATTTTCTTCCTTTGCCTTCCATGATGGACGAAATTTGGGAGGAGAAAAAGAGAGGGAGAGCTTCAAGTTCCATCTTAGATTATACCTTGTTTGAGTTGAAACCACAAAAATTAAACCGATTAAACTTGCAATAAGGTGACAAGGAAGCTTTGGGTGGAGTGATTGTTGCATGGGCAGCCTTGTTTTTGTGTATTTCCTTGAGGTTTGAAGGTATTAAACTAAGAAACTCTTCTTCTACCTCTTATATTGTATTTTATTGGATAGATGACCTGAATCTTAGAAGTTTTATGGATGAAAACCTTGATTGGTAAAGGTTGATGGAATTTCAGCCTAGGGTTTCATTGGTAAAGAACTTGTTCTGTTCTGCCCGATTTTATTTGTGTATGATAGAGGCCGAATTTGTGACGCCCCGAAAAAAAATGAGTTTGAGAACCCGGAAATTTTCTAATTTTCTAGGGTTTATTTTTTTGAACGCCCGCCTTTTCTACATTTTCTTGATTAGAAAAATTCCCCAGATAAAGTTATGAGCAAAGATAGTTTTAAAATGATTTTTCTAGTATCGGTTAGTTTTTGAGAAATTAAAAGCGTATTTTGGACGTGGGACCCGCAAGTGCGGTAAATGCATTATATTTTTGACAACTTGTTGGAATTTTGTATTAAGTGATATTATTTTACAATGTGTTAAGATATTTGTATTGGAGAGACAAAAAGATAAGATTAAAACCCTAAAGGACCATTTGTCACAAAACCATTGGACCTTGACTTTTGACCAAGACTTTTCTAACTTTACTAAAACCAATTTGGACCCAATTTCTCTCCATTTTAGCTTGTCTTGGACGAAATTTTGAGAGAAAAAGAGAGAGAAAATCCATCATCTTGCACTTCAATTTCTTGTCCAAATCTTGAGTTCCAACCGATTAAATTGCAAACCACTCCATAAAACTTGCTAGCTAAGGAAGATTGAAGCTCTTGGTGGAGTTGTTTTGGAAGAAAAATCCCTAAGTCATCACCTTTCTTGATATTTGAAGGTATCATGTCTAGCCATCCTTTCTTTGTTCTTGATTATGCTAAATTAGAGACTTGTGATGGCTAAAGAGATGGTTTGATGGATCATATTTTGAGTTGTGGTTGGATGGATGAACTTTTATTATTTTTGGGGATTTTTCTGTTTTAATATGAGTATGATTATGTGGTTATGTATGATGATTGGAAATGATGTTTAATGATTCTAGAAGGTGGAAAAAGTGGAAGATTGCAAGTAAATTCTGTTTTGGAAGAAATCTGGAAAATTAGGGTTCTTGGTTCTTCATTCTGTCCGAAATTTTAGGTCCTAGATAGAGACCGAATTGGTCTTTTCTTAAAACATGAAAGTTGTAGGAAATGAAATTTTAAAGGTGCCTACAAAATTTCAGGTCAATCGGAGTAGCGTAGAGTGAGAAAAGTCGAAATTACTATTGCTGTTCTGGTTTACCCGAAATTGGGATTTGCGACAGTAATTGGTTATTTTGGCTGGAATTGCTTCCGAATTGGTTGTTGAGGTCTTCTGATGAAATGTAGCCCTGTTTCTTAGCTTTTTTCTGGTTTTGGAATTTCTGGATTTGGACTTGGAGAGCCTGAGTTATGATGTTTCCGCTGGAATGCGTTCTGTGAATCTTTTTTTGTGATTCTGGTATAGTTTCTTGCATTTTTGACCTGGTTACACTCGAAACTGGGTTGAGTGACCTTCTGTAATATTGTACCCCTATCTCTTAGCTTCGAAACGGTGGGTCTTTCACCTTCATCCGACAATCGTTGTACCTTTGGTGCCATTACCGCAAAATTACATCAAAACTATTTTTCTGGTTTTGAGCTAAACTTTCATTTCCGGACTTTTCCCTAGCTTGACTTGTACTAGTACTACTTGGAGTTTGCTGAATGGCTATTGGATGAACTTGTTGTTGTGTGTGTACCTTTGGGTTGGAATGAGGAAATCATGAAGCCATGACGGCTGGAAAAGTAAGAAAATTTAGGGGAAGTGCTGTCCGAACTTTTAAAGGATTTGTTTGCATTGAGTTTGTGATCTAAAACTTGGATTTGAGTAAGGCAATGTTATATGATGGATGATTTCTGAGCCATGGAGGTGAGTGACCTCAAACTATTTCTAAAGTTATTTATGAACTGTTTCATGCATTATTTACTTTTGAACTGTTTCCTTGTCTTATTTACTTTTGAACTGTTTCCAAAGTTACTTTTGAACTGTTTTCTTGCATATCATGCGTGCTTACATGTGAGTGTTCCTTGTTTGCTATATTTCCTTGACTTATTGGCTTGTTATTATTGATTGATAATGTGTTAAGTGCTTTCAATGATTGTTAAAACAAGTTTTCTAGGCGAGTGTGTACTTTATCGCACTCGACCTAAATAAATATGAAACTTTCAATGATTAATGATTAAATGCTAGTTGCGCATGAATGTAAGCCGTTTGGCTGAACTGGCCACTGCCCTTCGTTACCGATCGACTCGAGCCAAAAGCGGACTCGGTCGGGCGATATGGTGACCCTGGGTGAATTTGGTATACTCGAGTATTACCTTGTAGTCCGGCTACGTCCGGATGGGTGGAGTCCGGCTACGTCCGGATGGGTGGAGACCGGCCAACGTCCGGAAAAAAAAAAAGATGAACGAATAAAAAGATGAACGAGGGATTATTTATAAAAAATGAACGTATCCTTTTCATGAATGTTACTATCGCTT